AACAATTTAAAGAGGAAAGGGTTATTCTGACTCATGTCTTCAAAGGTGTTAGTCTCTGATCAGCTGGTTCCATGGCTTTGGCCTTAAGTGAGGCAAAACATCATGAAGAAAATCTTCTCAGCTCATGGCATTTAGGAAACAGAGAGATATGGGAAGGAGGGAAGAAGAAAGGACAGGGTGAAAAGAGGAAAGGGTGCTGGGGACTCAAGTTCATAATTTCATGACCCATTTCCTTCAAACAACCCTACCTCCTAATTTTCCATTTGCTCCCAATAATGCCATCAATTTATGAATCTGTCAATGGATTAATTCACTGATAAATCTAGAGCCCTCATCACCCAATCCCCCTTCCAAAGCCCCACCTCTGAACACTGCATCACTGAGGACCCAGTCTTCAATACATGAGCCTTTAGGTAATATTTCATATCCACATGTAACATCATGTATTTTAATGAATGTTACATTCCAATTATTGTTTGTGTCTAGATGTTCCCCAAAGCTGCAGGCAGTCATAGGTGGGGTTGTTTCAGAGATGGCTGTATCTAGAGTGTGTGACTGATTCATGGTACAATGCTAGGATCAGAGGTACTAGGATGAAATGTGTGGATGCAATCCGCCTAAGTAACCTGGATAAAATAAAAGGGACAGAGGGAGCTGTGGCTTTCCCTTGCTTGCCTTGCTATCTTTTGCCCATCATTAACTATTTTGCCTCTTGATGCCTGTCTACGATGGCACCCTGCCTTAGAGACAGTAGATTACGGACTGAAACTTCTACAAACTGTGAGCTAAGTAAACTTTTGCTCCTTTAACTGTGGGTGTCAGCTATTTTATCTTAGTCATCAGAGAAAAATAACTAAGATATCGTTTTAATAACCTAAAATATTTGTTATTTACTTGATCTTAGCCAAAAGGCTGAGAAGCAATAAATGTCTCTGTTACAATGTTGAGTTTGAAAGGATTTAAAATTGGCTATATAGGATAAGTATGACTTCTTAAAATCTTTAGAATAAGTATATAGAACGGGAAAACAAGACACATTAATGTGCCAAAAGTGGGTGTCCACTCTGGGTTGTGTGTGGGTGCGTGGTATTTTCTCTCTCTGCCTTTGACATCCTATAGTTTGTAAAATTTTAATCATGAATCACTACCAGTGAACAATTATTGGCTTTCTATTTGTCAGTCTGCCCACCAGATGAGTTGAGCTTTTACTTCAAAGTTCCTTCCAGGTCACCTGTCTCATATCCAAAACCAGAGAAGCCAGAGCCCTCTGACTTGTGCCTTCAATGAGAAGATATTGTCTCCCGCATCACATAGTCATTGCCCTGGAAGTGGACTGCTAGTTTTAAAACCAAAAATCAAGAAGGGAAACCCACAAACTGTGCCCAAGACTGTCTGGAAATGTCCTTGTCAGCAAAGCCACCACCCAGACATGGCCCTGTCCAACCTGGAATAGACACAGACAAGCTGACCCGCGCTCTAGCCCCAGCCCTATTCTATTAAGTTCACACGGGTTGTTTTAAATGGAATTATCAAGGACTTTCCAGTTGAAATATCTTACAGAAGCATCTCTTTTCACCTCTTCTAAAAAATCAGAGGCTCCAAGTACTTCAAGCTGTGTGACAGCAGTCAGCTGGAACAGAGTCACGGCTGTCCCCGATGGATGGGCGCTCACCTTGTCAGTCGCCACTGCCCCCATGCACTGAAGCTGGCATTTTGTGTTTGAGCTGCTGCTTTTCACAGCAGGGAGCAGCAGATGGTGAAAAGTGTCCTGCACTTTTAATCATAAAAGGAAAACTGAAACTCAGGGTGGTAAGAGAGTTATGGATCTCCATAAAAATAGTAGAGGGCACACTGCCTGGATTCCTCGACTCACTGATGTCATAGCCCTCATCCAAATTAGTCTTTGAGGGACTGGGGATTTAGCTCAACAGGCATAAGTGCCTGCCTTGCAAGTATGCGCTTGGGAGTTTGATCTCCAGTACCAATTAAAAAAAAAAAAACACTGTTACTGGCTTGCAAAAAAAAAAAATTAGTCTTTGAATTTTCTTTTTCTGGCCTAGAGGGCTTCTACAAAAGAAGTTAAAGAAAATCATATCCTCCTTCATTTAATTTTTAGAAGACAAAATACTGTTTGGTGCTTCTCTGTCCACTTCTCACTCCTCCCCAGGAGTTGACTGCCTCGCACTTGTGGTTAACTCTGGGGCCTTCCTCCAAGAAATTTTGCAGGGAGGTGATGAAGAGCATCACCCGAAAATCATGCAGTTGAGACCTATTAGGCCTGGGAGACCAGGAATTGTGTCCATTTCCTGAGCAAAATCAGGAAATTTTGGAGACATATTCCCAGCCCAACTTCTCCCAAAATTTTAAGCTGTTTTTAATGCATGAAAATTTTGTGCAAAGGCCCAGGTACAGGACCAAAATTTTGGTACAGCTGCACCAAAGCTGCTATAGCCTCAAGTTCTAGAAAGTCTTGGGGCAGAGACAGCTGTGGGCTCAGAGTCAGACCTCCTGGGCCAGTATCTCTGCCCTACCTCACCCTAGGGCAAAGATCTTAAGTTATAGAACCTTTCTGTGCCTCAGCCTTTCCTTTGTGAAACCCCCAGAAGGGGTGTGGTAAAGACAAGGCACATGTGAAGCTCTTGGCATTGTGCCTTGCACAGGTTAAGGGCTCAGTAAACATGGGCTGTGTGGCCTCCACAGCTGTGACTATTCCGCCAAGCCAGGAAACAGAGGCTGATGGGTAAGCTGAGCTTGGCTCTTCAATCCTCCACTCCTGCGGGGAAACTGAGTTCTGGGCTCAGGTGCCAAGGACTCCAAACTCATGGGCCCTCCCCAGCCTTCCATGCAGAACCTCTCTGTGCTCCCAGAAAACCAGGCTCCTAGTGCACTGGGAAGGACAGATAAACACGTGTTCATTTTCTGTCACTTCCTCAAGGGGTTTAAGAGAGCCCCTTTCTTTCTGCCATCACTGATGAAATGGCCTCCTGAGGCCAGCAGCAGGGGCTGTGCAGCTCGGTCAGGGAACCCCTGCTCTCCTGAGACACTGTCAGCACCCTTCAGAGCGAAAGGAGGAGGAGGGTTCCTGGGTCCCTGTGTTTTCACTGCCCAGAGGGCTGACTCAGGAAAGGGACCTACACTTCCAGATCCACGGAGGCCAGGTGGGCCATGCTCCTCCCACACCCCAGGTGAGGCAGGCCTGGGAGTCCCTGAGCATGACTCTGAGTGTGTGCGTCATCCAGGTGTCTGGGCCCCTGTGTGCTGTCCCTCTCCCCTCCCTGCTCCCTCTCTGAGCAGCCCGGCTCACAGCCCAAGCATTAGCCCCACTTGTCACAAATGGTAGTGACCCAGTTTCTCTCTGTCTGTCTGCTGGAATCAGGCCTGGATGATTCCAGCAGGATGGAGACAGGATGGAGATCTTTTTGTTTCTGTTTCAGTTTTGGGTTTTTGTTTTGTTCAGTCTACCCCCATGTCCCCAGCATGTAGCTCTGTGGCACACAGCAGGTGCCTAACTATGTTTGTCAGGTAAAGGAAGAGAGATGATAACCATACCTAATTCACACTGCTGTGTTGGATGTCAAACAAGATAAAGTGTCTAAAGTGTTCCCAGTAGACAAGAAGCCACACAATGTACACAGTGCACATATGCACGCAGACAGACACCTACCCTTAGGTTCTCTTCTTTGAGGCACCAAGAGAACGTAATGAAGGTGTTATGGCTTGTGTCTAGCTGTCCCTCTCCCCTCTAAGCCTCATGGAATCAAAGGCAGGGCTTTTTGGAAGTGACTAGATCTAGAGTGTGTGACGCTGAGATCAAGGATGCACTGTCAGGATTACAGCTGTGAGTGGGTGGATATCTTGGAGAAGAAAGGGACTTGTTAGCTGCTCATTTCTTCCTTGCTGCCTTCTGCCTGCCCTGCCTGGTCATGGACTGTTTACCTTCTATGAAGACCTTCTGCCATCGCATCTCACTTTGGAGCCAGCCGGTGATGGACTGGGACTTCTACGAGCTGAACTAAATAAATGTTTCTTACTTTAACCTTGGCTGTTGGGAATTTTGTCTCAGCAATGAGAGAAGTAACCAAGATATCAGGTTGCTTTTTCAATAGCCAAGCAACCTCATCCTTGAACTTCTTCCAACATGTGGACCCCAAAGAGTTTTTAGACTTATAGAGTTTCCCTCTGCACCAGAACCTTAGGAAAGGTTTTCTGAAGTGGACAGGGTGGAACTAATAGTCAGCTTTGGGGCAGGATATCTGAGTTCTAAGTCTGTTCATGATGCCCTTCATCCCTCTATATCTTTGCTTTATCTCTGGGAAGGGCCAGATCAAAAATTTTCAAACATTTCTCAGAGGATTAAACACTTTGTTTAATAAACTAAACTGTACCAAGACACAAGTCAGTATACCCAGCAGATGAAGGCAAATACATGCCCACCCAATGACCCCACTGTGGTCCTGCATCTCCCCACATGGTGACCATGACAATGGGCATTAGAGAGTGATGCACTTCTTTGGGACAGCCTGGCTTCAGGCTCCGCACATGCCCTGCTGGGTAGGGAGATGGGTGGCTGGCTCAGGGCAGGTGTTCTGCTGTGGCCAACATAAAACTCACATCCAGGTTTGAACAAGGCACCTTGGCATTTTCATTTTGCACCGAGAGCTGCTGATTATGTAGATGATCCCCATGTGCCAATCATGATCTGTTCTTGAGAAAGTATCTTAGTCTGTAGGAACCTCAGTTTGTTAGCCGTAAAACAGAGATAATGACAGCAGTTGCCTCGAGGAATTGTCAGGGAGATGAGGTAACACAACCTATGCAGAGCTTTTAGCAGGCTTCTGGCACACACATACACAACCATTGGTACTTACTTCTATAGGAAATAATGATTATAGTATTGTGGAAAAACACAAGTGCCCTGCCCAATAAAACAGATGCTAATAATTGTACTCCAGATCTAGCCACCTAGGAAAGGTCACATGCCCATTCCCCTGGCCTCTTACCTTCCCGAAATGGCTGTGTTTGCATCTGCAGCCGGATCTTGATGAGGTCCACAGGCCCCCCAAACCCTACAGAGACCACGCCGGCTACCATGCTGGCCAGAAGCAGGTCATACAGGCTGTGGTGAGGGCTGGGCTCAGGCTCCCCACAGCGATGCTGGCCAAGGAACCTCCGGATGTTGCTGAAGACCCCAAACACTACTGAGTTGTAGACAGCAATGCTGGCCAGAGGGAAGGACATGCCCTTGAAGAAGCCAAACACCTGTGATGAGACCGGTGGGAGGGAACATGAGACCCAGGGCTGCACCCTCTGGGTGCAGGCCAGCAGGCCACAGATAGGGTTCTTTTCCTTCTCTTCTAGAGCCTGGAGGCTGTTGGGAGAGATGCCCAGGATGAATAAACCGTGATGGGAGTGTAGGAGAGGATCATGCTGAGACTGGAGAGGTGGCAGGTGATTGCCCTGAGGAGGAACAGCTTCTGCAGAACACTTTCCTTCCTATCTGATGGTACACTGACCTAGGCCTGTATCTGCCACATGGATGGTTATGAGCTCTGGTGTCTGCAGCGAGCTCCAGCTCAGGCCTTGCACAGATCGAAGGTCAAGGGCAGTCTGTTAGCAAATGGCTGACCCGCCATTCATTATTTGAAAAACAGATTGCCTTGTTTTTGCAGGAATTTTCCATACAGTGGTTCTCTACATGGACTCTCAAGATTTCTCCAGGGAAGTTACACAAAACCAGTTTTACCCCCCAAGAATATCATATTAGGCAACAAGGTTAGGTTAAAGTAAAATGTACCGTTCGAGGTGTGGTATGAGATGAAAAGGGAAAATTGGGCCAATCAGGAGGGGCAGGAATTAAAGACCTCCTGCCTGCCATGCTAGTGGGCCAGGGCCCAGGTCCAGGGAAGGCCATGGCAGGCGTCCTCCAGCCACCAGAGCCACTTACACTCTCTCTCCTGTATACCATGCGGATGCAGTTGAGGGTGCTTCCATAGCCGATGCCAGCCTGCAGGCGAGTCTGTGGAGACAGGGAAGGTTGCGGGACCCACTCAGAGATCAGTGACACACCTATGGCCCCAAAAGATGCCCAGAGAGGGGAAACCCCTGCCCGAACTGACTCAACTGACTCAGACTGAAAGGAAGTCTAGGTGTCAATCCCAGCTAGCCTAGTGTTCTGTGGTCTGCAAGCAAAGTTCCCTTTAAAGTCCCATTCACACTGTTCATGCAACAGAAGGCCCCTTTTCCAGGGAGAAGGCTGGAGGCCGTTCGGTATGTACAAATGATAGCATGGGATTAGAATCCTTGCCTCTCCAGTACAAAAAGCCAGACTAATCTGTATCATGTCGTCAGCCACTCAGCCCCTTAAACACCCTCGGGGAGACCTACTCTTTCTGCCCAGAGGACCACCACCCTGGTCAGTGCTCCCTTCGCCTCTCACCTGCACCCCTCCCACCACTTCCTTCCCCACTCTCAACACAACAGTGGGATGGATCTTTTTCAAACACCACCAGAGTGACATCACTGTGGCTCTGTTTACAGATCTCCAGTGGCCACCCATCAAATTTCACACTTTTTATCTGTGGTCAGAGGCCTCAGGGGAAACTCCTAGGCCTGCCTGATACCCCACAAGCCCTTGCCTTCCCATTCCTGGTCCCCTATTCCCAGCACATGCACTTTTCGCTCTCCGGAGTATTAACTCTTAGCTCCAGATCTTTGCCCTAGCTGCTCCCTCTCCTGGAAGGAAGACTTCCTGACCACTTGTATGCCTGTTGCTTTGAGTGTGAATGCTGCTCCTTTAGGCAGGGTTTATGTTGTATTGCTCCACTAGTGCAGGGCCACCTTCTTCCTTCTCTTTTTCCCTGCCTGAAGCTGAGTACAGTCCTGTCACAGTGGCTGTTCTGCACTGGCCAAACAAGAAGCTGAGTGGTAAAGGTGCAGTGACCTCTAAGGGATGTTGGCCTTGGTGACCACGGGGCAGTAGTGGACAAACACAGATGTTCAGAGGAAGCCCACAAAATTACCTACAGCACCCCTACCCTGGTCTCAGAGGGTCCAGTTCTTTTAAGAGGCATGGCATGGCCTCTAATTCTCCATAAATGCTTTCCCAGAACCCATAGTGAGCTCCGACTGTGTAGAAAGGAGCTGTGGGAGGCACAGAGAAGATACTGGCACTGTCCCTAGCATGCAGGGTGCAGTGAGGAGCTAAGGCCCAGAGAAATGGCTCTTCCTCCCGCACTGTCTGAGCTCCACTCTGAGTCAAGCGCAGAGGCCTCCTGAGGAGCAGACACCATCAAAGCAGCAGTCTCCCAGATGGCGCTTTTCTGTATGGAATTCGTATTTCCAACTTTCCTAAGGCAAGCAGGGACGACTTTCATTATTTTTAACTTGTATAGCTTTAAAAGTAATTTTAACTGTACAACTCATAACGGAACACATTCTCTCCATAAAAATTTCACTATCACATGTAAGGTTAAAAATCTCCTTTGATATGAGCTAAATTATAGAGAGCTAAATTAAATAGAAATATTATAGGTAGCCAGACAGGACTAGGTGCTCAAAGGAACCAGTGCAGAAGATGGGGTACAAGGCAACTGTGGAGAAGACCCAGACACAGCTGCTGAGGGCTAAACCTCAATATAAAAGATAGAATGAATCCACCCATAGAATGAATCCCCAAAGGATAAACAACAGTGATTGATACTCTAAATAGGCATGCATCACCTTGGGAAAGCCGGGCAGAGCCACTGACTCTGCCCCTGCAGGAAAAGCCCTGTCCTGTTTGGTGCCCATTTGCTATGTGACTTGCTTCCCCATTTGATTCCCACTTAATCAATATTACCTGAGTAACTATGCTCCTAATCTTACTGGTTGATCATAGTTTTGTCCCACCTCATGCCCATCTTGTGATTTTCCATTTTTGCCCACCTTGGACCTGCCTCACCCTATGGTTTTACTCTATAAAAATCCCTAGAAAAGGCAACGTGCTCAGAACCCTTCTGTCTCTCTCAGAGCTTTCTTCCCACAATAAATACATTCTGGTCTTAACCTCCTTCATTCCTAGAATGCATTCTTCAATCTTAGGAAACATGAACTCATACTGGAAATCCAGCTAGCTGGGAGTTTCCTTCCTCTATATCAAAGTGACTGTGACCAACAGCATGACCAAGGGTGTGACTGGCACCTGTCTGTTTTACAACCACATGTAGCCATAGAAAATATTAGGAAATGGTATCACATCGTTCCTAAGTGTTACTTGCATTATCAGAGAAATGTATTTATGATCTCGTTCAATAAATATCTGCATGTCTAAAATGTACCAATAAAATTAGTTTTAAAAAATCAAATATCTGATGAGAGTCTAGATCATAGGAGTCTGTCCCAAGCTCAGGAAACTCAGCAATAAAGATGACAGAGTCTCTGACTTTATAGAACTTATGAACTAGTGGGGTTGGAAAAGATAGTCAATATAAAACAATCCCCAAGACAATATAGGTATTATATGGTGATGAGTGCTATGGAGAAAAATAGCCTAAGGACCAGAAGGGCTGCCAAGGAAAATGCACTGGTAGATTGGAAGGTAGGAGGGACCCCCTGGGAGGAGCCCCAAGATGGAAACTGGCTCTGCATGGTCTCCTTGTTAAGCAGAACTGCAGAAGTCTATCTTGGAGGCAGGTGGTGGTGGTGGTGGTGGTTCCCAGTCAGCACAATGACGCAGGCCATGGGAGGCAGTGTAGGTCTCTCTTTGCATCCCATTTAAAGCCAGCATGAAGTCCAATTCATCACGATTTCCAGGTTTTTAAACAGGATGAAAAAGTGGGTGAATTTTCAGGTGCTAATAAGGAAAAGCTTGACGCCACCATTAATGAATTAGTCTAATTGTTTTCTAAAGAATATAACCAGATATCAGCTGTTTAACACTTTTTTATTTACAAAAAGTATAAAGTATGGAAACTATATACCCAACTGCCATCTGATTAAAAATGACAATAAAATACTAAATCTATCCTTTTAAAAAATGAAATAAAATAAAGCTAGTATGAGGCCCAACACTGTCCCCTGCTGGCCCCACAATCCCAGGCCTCTCCCTGGATAGTGAGAATGGTAAGTGTCCCTGGGAAATCAGGTTTCCACATTGGCTGGGTATTCAAGCAAATGGTACCTGAGGTGGCTTAACTCAAGGGCAAAGCTGCACTACCGAATCATTTTAAAGCCATAGAGCAAAAGCCTGCCATGCTGCGTCCTCACAGAGACTCCAGGATCCCTGTGACAACAAAAGGTGGCATTTTGTACACACCCAGTGCATGTAGGCACCTAGGAGAACTTATCTCACTGAATCCCCCCAATACTGAGAAGCATGAATACTGCCTATGTTTCATAGATGAAGAAAGCTATATTAGCTGTGCCTGTATTAGTTTCTCATTGCTGCACAAAACAATCCAAGACTATTTTCATACAGTTCTAGATGCCACACATCCCAATTCCATGCTACTGTCTCGCACCCCTGCATGGGCAGCCCAGGGCAGGGGAAACAGCCTTTGATCTGGTCAGCAGCCCAGGTCCTGGTAGGTGGGCCTCCCATGGGTGAGCCCTAAGATCTCAGACAAGCCAGCATCTGCTTCCTGCACCCTGGCAAGTCTGTTCCCTAGGGTGAGGCTGTGTTGCTCATTGTTTGTCTTCAGAGTCCCTATGAACAATCTTCATGGCAGACTCACTAGGGAAGTCCCACATGCCCATTTTAGGCTCAGGGAGGCTACGTGCTCTGTTCTGGATCACAGAAGAGTAGAGAGCGAGGTGAGAACTAAGCTTTAGGCTGTTTGTACTTGCCCAGGTCTTTCTCCCTGGGTGGGGACTCTTGAGAAAATTCAGCCAGAAAGAAAGTAAGATGATGTTCCAGAGTAAACAAGGGCCCAGTGCCATCTTCCTGTGGACTCAAGGCAGCCATGTGAGCCACACTGATAGCCTTGTACCCCAGCATGAGCTTCTTAGGCTGAACACAGACTGGGTTTTATGTCTCAGGAAGGGTTCCCCTCTGGGATGCAGGGGCAGAGTGAAGAGAAGAAAGAGGACCCCAACGAGGCCTCCTGAGATGTTACCACCCCCTCCCAGGCAGGCAGAGAGCCTGGAGACTCAGCGTGATCCAGAATAGCAGGCAGGATTCCAGAAGCAGACCTGCTCTGGGACTCTTCTACAGAGGTGATGAGAACCACTGCTACCATACCTTGACTGTGTCCAGAGGGTGGCCAACAATGACACTGGCTGTACCTGTAGATCCAAGAAGAACACATGGTCACCCAGAGCCGGGACATCTGGTCTCTACCACCTGCATCTTGGAACAGCACAGAGGGCTCGGATACAAGCATTCACGCATTCAGTCAATAATCAGTTGCTAGTAGTAGCTTCCAACAGCTTAACATTAGTCCACTTACCAGGGAAGGTAAAGAAAATGGAGTCAAATTAGGGCCTTAATTCAAGGAGCATCCCCCATGAAGAGCAGCAAGGTGCTAAGACAACAGGATGTCTACACACAAAAGACAGGATTAGTCCCCTACTCCAGACCATGTGCAAAAATTAATCCAAAATAGATCAAAGACTTACACAGAAGAGCTAAAACTCCAGAACTGTTAGACTGAGACATGGTAAAAGAGCTTCATGACTTGGGATTTGCAAAGCACTGTTAAATGACACCAAATGCATAAAAAATATAAGAAAAAATAGATCAGCCAGCTTCATAAAAGTTTTCTTGCATCACATGACACTCCAAGGAAAGTGAAGACAACTGCAGATAGAAAATATTTTCAAATCATCTATTTGATAATAGCTTAGAATGCAGAATATACACAGGGCGCTTACAAGTAAAATAATGCTTTGAAAGCAAAGAAACTGAACAACTTCTCTAACGAAGATTTATAAATGGATAAAAAGCACATTATTAGGTGCTCAGTACCTTAATCATTAGGGAAATTCAATCAAAATCAGAGTAAGCTGCCAGTTCATATTCATTATGATGGTTATGATAAAAAATGAAAATAGCAAGTATTGACAAGCATGTAGGGAAGTTAAAATCTCTGTGCCTTGCTGGTAGGAATATAAAATAGTAGCAAACAGTTTGGCAACTCCTCAAAAAAAACAAGCATAGAATGATTACCCAGTCTGATAACTCCATTCCCACAGATATATCCAAGAATTGAAAACAAACATGTTTATGGCGGTGTTACAATATCCAAAACAACCCAAACGTCTATCAACTGATATATGCGGAATAAAATGTCCATACAATGAAATATAATTTAGCTATTAATAAGGATAAAAAAAACTGACACATGCCACCACATGCAGAATCTCAAAAAAAAAAAAAAAAAACACACTGATATGGGAAAGAGGACAGCCATAAAGGCAACTTACTGTACAAAGTCATTTATGTGAATTATGCAGAATAGATAAATCTGTATATGCAGAAAGCAGATTGAAGGCTGCCAGAGCTAGGACCTGAGGGAATTAGGAGTGATTATTTGACAGATACAAGAGTGTCTTGGAGCATTTTAAGAAGCAAATTGAAAAATATTTTAAAATATTTAATTAAACAATAACCACTGGTGAGCCAGGTAACTCCACAGCAAGAGTAGTTCAGGTCCTTACCAAAGCAGCACAAGAAAAGGGAGGATGGACAGCAAAATGAAGAAAAGAAAAAGTCATGTGCCATGTAATGACAGAGATAGTAGTGTGAGAAATGCTTGGTTAGGGCACTTTACCTTGTGCAAACATCGCAGTGCACAAATACTCACATGGACCTGCAAGACAGACCTACCCATGCTACTTGGCCCACCACTGATCAAAGCTTCAGCACACCACAGCATTTGATTGGCTACACAGGTGCCTGCTTTGGTTTACCCTGTTTGAAAACCTCCTAGTTACATATATTAGTTGTTTACTTTTGAGTAGCTGAGTTTAAATTCTGATTTTCAACAATATAAGCATTTATGAGAAATAACTCCAATTAAATTTTACTTATGTTTGCAAAATAAGCAGATCCCTTTTGAAAGCTGTTGCATGTGCTAGATCTCGTCACAGAGAAATGCCTGTCCACACACATCTTCCCAAGGCCTGTAAGACTGGAAAGGAAGAGAGTTTATTCTTAGACCACCTGAATGTAGAGTGTAGGGTTGCAGAAACTAGCGACAGAGACTGAAACAGGAGAAAGTCCTCAGCGTCTCTGAGGTGGTTTAGGCAAGGTGAGCTGAGTAAAAGGCCCGGAATACGAGGTACTATCACCAGAAATGTGGAAAGAATTAAGTTCAAGAACTGAGATAGTAGTTGTTTCCAGGGACAGAGAAACCAGCTCAGTCCAGAACAGTTGTTCCCTTGGGCCGGAACCACCTGCTCTCCCTTGCCTCTTCTCTTCCCCTGTCTCCTCTGCCTCCCTGCAGAGGCAGAAAGCTGCTGGACAGTGGGAGCGGACACTCTCAGCCTCGCTCTGCAGGACACTCCCTGAAAGAAAGGAGGGGGCTCTGGTCCTCAGTCTCCAGTGTCCCTCGCAGTGAGTGCGGGGACCCCTCAGGCCCCAACAGCATCTCAGATTCAGCCTTGGGCCAGCACCTTCCCACTCCACATCCATCAGCCTACTCATCTGAAGGGAGAGGTGCAAAACTACAAAATGGGATCATCGGGTTAGCAGTGTCCAGACCTTAGGATCTCAGAGACAGGTATAACTTGAAACAAAATGTGGAGGGCACCATGACAAAATTTCATCATGTCAGATCATTAAGACAAAGAACAGCTATCAATAATCTGGAGGCTAGGACCATGGCAGGCCTGGAGGTCAGACAGCCTGGGTTAGAATCCCATGTAGCTGCATGATCTTAGGCAAGCCACTGGATTTCTCTGTACTGATCTCATCTGTAACGGGAGGACGTAACATTGCATATTTCACTGGGGTTGCTATAATAATAATAATATATACATAGACACAGGAGATTACATATTGCATGCGTCAATCAGTATGAAATATTCAAGGAGGACAAATTTACAGAAAGTAGGTCCCTACAGTAGGGGCAGAACTCAACTGCTAATGGGCATGAGAGGTCCTCCCAATGGAATAAAAATACTCTAATACCAACTGATGCTGATTGCTGCACTTAGTAAAGTTACTAAAAATCATGTAATTACACATGTAAAATGGGATAACTTTACAATATACAAAATAAGCCTCAATAAATGTGCTTTTAAAACATACCTAGCTCATTTAAACACCAGCTGTCACTACACTCATGATCATTTCATAGACATAGAACAAACATGTTAGCAGGAAATCTCAGAAAAGAGGGGGGAAAGGAAATGCTTCTGTCCAATCAGTGGCTGGAGCTACTCTCACTCAGCCCAGCCGCCAGAGCGGCTCACAAACAGCCACCTGCAGCCCCCTGAAGGTAACGGCAGCAGGTGGAAGGGTCTCCTCCGTCTACCCATCCTTCAGTGGTTGAAGGATTGTCCAGCCCAAGAAGGCCTGGATATGCCCAGAAGGTGCATGGCTGCAGGCCCCTGGCCGGTAGTCGGAAGAGGCAAAACGCAACCCCACCCATGCGTTCCCATGCCCACAAAACTGCCCACCACCGTGGAAAAGCCATCTTTGCTCAGGAAGCTTGAGACAAGGACTTTGCTGCCACCACTGGGGAAGGAGAGCCTGCTTCCTGATAAGCGAGGAGGATCAGGAGTCCTATGTGGTTTGTTGCTCATTTAGTCTGTTTTTTTCTTGACATTTAACAGCATCCTGTTTAAGATACTCCTTAGATGGCTCAAAAGAATTTTCTTACAGTAAGCAAACATCCCTCATATGCCCATGGTCCCAGTACCTGAGGGAAGAGGTTTTCTTTTCTTTTCCTTTTTTTTTTTTTTTTTTTTTTGTCTTTGAGACAGGGTATTACTGTGCAGTTCAGGCTGACCTTGAGCTCACTTTGTAGCCCAGGCTGGCCTCGAACTCTCAACAATCCTCCTGCCTCAGCCTCCCAAGTGCTGGGATTACAGGCATGAGCCACCACGCCCAGCTGGGAAGAGGTATTCTAAATAACCACTATGAAGACAGCCATGAGCAATGTATTAATTATTATAACTGCCCTGCTAACTTGTTTTGAAACTATCTCATTATTTTTATCATTTTTTTCTCTTTAAAATAATAAAATAAAATAAGAGGTTTAAAAGCAAAAGGAGGAAAAGAAGAAGAAGAGGAGGAAAAAGAGGAGGAGAAAAAGGAAAACTTGGAAGCAGCTAGTTCCAGATAGAGGTTCCTTGAAGGAAGGCGTTGGCTGACGACTGACCGCTGACCGTTGACCACAGACAGCCGCTGAACACAGGACGTGCGCTTCCCAGCTGTCCTGGGCACCACCCGCCTAGATCCCTGTCCGCTCTGGTAGGGCGCCCCCTATCGCCATCCAGCTCTCCAGTAGGGCTCCTCACCACCACACGCCCGGATTCTATACCCAAACTCCAGAGACCTGTCCCAAAATCCAGGAGCACACCAGGTCTCCGAAGGGTGTGTGCGCACCCTGGAGGCCCCATTTGCTGCCGGCTCTAAAGGGCTGTTTAATCATTACTGGATCGAATTCCTCAGGTCCTAACATTGAGACAAATTAGTTCAGGGTGAGTCGCTGCGAAGCTCGAGTTTAGCCCCGGGAGAGAGCAAAAGTCTGCAAGACCACCCGAGAGCACTGGGGCGGTAGCCGGCGTAGCCAGGGGTGTAGCGTGGGGTGGACGCTCCCGACTCAGCCCGGAGGCGTGCAAACTCCGCCGGGGCTCGGCAGCTCGCGGTGCCCGCTCCGCGGGACCTTCCTCAGCGCGCTCACCTCCAATCCAGCCCGCCACAAAATCTTCCAGCTGGAAGCTGCTCATGGCTGGTGCCGCGGGGCGCCTCGCCCTCCGAGCCGGGAGGTGCCCGCTCAGGGTCAGAGCATCGCCCGCCAGTCCAGGAGCGCCGAGGAGAGTGGGAGTCTCCTCGCGCGCTGCTGCTCCTGCTGCAAACCCGGAGTCCCAGCCTGTTGCGCTCACCTCTGCAAGCGCCGGTGGCCGCTGACTTCATGCCCCTAGTGGACCTTAGAAGGAGCTGCACTCAGGCAGGAAGAGCGCGCGCGCAGGTCCTGGTCCAAAGAGGAAAGGGCTGTCCTGTGGAATTCCCTCATGCGTGTTGGAAAGCGTGTCGCTCGGAAGTCAGCGTTAAGCCAAGTTTAAGTGAATACTAGCTCTTGACGATCATCATTTTTTTTTTTTTGCATGGAAATCCTACTCCACTTCCTCTACCTGAGTTTACTCCTTGTAATAACTGTGAGGTTGGTAGGGTAACCTCATTTCATATAATGCGGCAAGTTATTGTATACCTAAGGTATATAACGTTTGTGTATTTCATACGCCGATGTCAGGCTTTTAGAAAACTGGTCTAAATCAGGAAGTGAACGTTGCCACATCCGAGCTGCAGGCTTTGCTGACTGAAAACAGGTTTGTGTCTTTTCCCAAAGACCTGGCTCTCAGAGAAGGGCCCAGGAGTGAAGGGAGCTGACGAAAGCCACAGAAATCCCTGCGCCACCCCACCACAATTCTTTGGGACAGCTTTCTGTGTTTTGCAGGAACCAAGCTCCAAACCTGTTCTCTCGGCTGAGCTAAAACTGCTCCTAACCCACCCCCCCACACACACACACACTCTGCACCTGTGTGCTCTCCTTAAGCACACAGACACCAGACTGGAGCTTGTTGATATAAAATAACAAATTCCACCTGAAAGGAAACAAGAAAATCATTCATTCTGGGCCAAATATGAATGAACATGGCCTGGGAACACCAATTCCTGTTTCCCTGAATGGTGTGTTTCCCTGTGGAAGAGTTTGCATAGGTTTTACAGTCACAGAACAAAAGAAAGTCATGTTAATACTTACAAATGTCATCGGTGGGAGCATCAGGTAAGCAGGCAGTGTGAATATCTAACATGTCCCCCAAATTCTAATGTGTGTGGAAGGCGAGTGCATCATGGGGATGTTGTAACTGACTTCTATAGCTTCTATGGTTGACTTTAGCTGGTGGAATTTCTGCTATAGATTTAATTGCTCTCTTATAGATTCTGTGGAGGCTAGAGACGCGGGAGGCTTAGCTCTGTTATTCCAAGAGTTCTACTCAGTATTCATAAGGATGCCTGCGTTAAGTCAGATGCTGAAATGGACTTAAAAATGGCTATTAAAAGTGACTGAAAATAGCCCAAGATGACTGTGGATCCCAATGTACACATTCCCTCTCTCCATAATCATGATATTCTAGTTTGTCTACAGGCTCTTCCATGTGCATGTGGCTTCTACAGAGAACTTCCGTTCACGAACCCTCCCCTGTG